ATAAGTAAGCTGCCACGGATTACAATACAGCATTTAGCTAGTACTGCTGGGGTCTGATAGATACTATCAACGATGTTTTCGGTCATCTGTTTAAACAGGACTTGGCCACGTTAAAAAACAACCACCGCAGTTTGGTTGACACGTAGATATCTTTATCCCGTTTAACATATTTGCTCTGAGAAGGTAAAATGACGACTTGGGTAAACTGCACTCATTAGAATGAATGTGCAACTCATTTTTGGCATACAAGTACAACGCTCTTTGTTTTTTTATCACTTTCCGAAGAGTTTTGTGTGGCGCATTGATTTAGAGGCAGATGTCGCTTGATCGAAATTGTTTGGCTCACTAAATATGTCAGAATGCTAAAAAGAAAAAACATCAAAACTATCTCCATCTGCTATGCGGCAGAATATCACTCAATGAGAAAAAACACCACGAAAGAGCACCTTTTATAAGCAGGCGTTAAAATCAGTCGTTCGTTGGATGCCTTTAACTGGCATCAACATCGGACCGTATCCTTTGTACACAATATTAACAGCGAACAGTGGTGAAGTGACCGTATTAATTTAAGACCCTTGAGAAACTTTTTCAAATGAATAAAAGAAGCAACTTAATGTTGTTTTCGCCAGAATGACAACTGGTTCATCTCATCCACCAATTTGTTTCTTAAGTCTGTGTTTATAATTTGACTTTAGTCAGTCACCATGCTTAAACTCAAGGAAAAATATTGTATTTACTGACCACCACAGATTGCCGTGACCTATCTACCGGATAAATCCGCTAAACAAATAAATGCCATGTTGAACGCTCGAGAATTATAAAAATTGTAAAGTTGAGTGGAAAACTTATCCAAACATCAAACTAAATGAGTCCTAATCCGCATTACCATCCGATGTATGTGACGAAAAATGTTGCTTACGCTAAAACGCCCACGTGTATCCAAACATCAACTAAATGAGTCCTAATCCGCATTACCATCCGATGTATGTGACGAAAAATGTTGCTTACGCTAAAACGCCCACGTGTATGGAAACTAAGGGCATTTTATCAACATTCCAACAACACGATGTTGGTTGCAAATCGAAATTCTATTTTTAATTAACCAGGTTTAAACTTCAAGGAAGTTTTCGAATTCATAAGGTTTCTCAGAAACAGACCAATGGCTTACGCAGAAGGCTAGTTGTAAATCAAACTGTTACCGGAAATTTAGCGGTTTATTTTCCCCGCCAAAAATGTAACGTTCAAATGATCGTGACTAGTGTACTAATGTAACGCGACGCAGACATTTTCCCGGATAGACCGTTCGAAACTATTATTGTGGCCATCATATCGGGATAGAACTTCCAGAATGAACTGTTTTTCTCGGGAAAGAACTCGACATTTGTGACTACTTCATAGGTCTTTACACTTTCTCTGCAGCGCGCGCAACAGAAGATGAAAACGGTCGAAGTACATTAGTCCAAGTCAAGTCTCGTTGCAATCGGAGGAGAGGACGTGCCTTTACAGCATGAACTATAGCAGCCCAAACAAAGCACGAGGGATTTATTGTATAGGAGAGTGCACACATGTAGAAATCAGGAAAGCGCATTTAGCTACATAGATAAATATTCTCACTGGGACTGTGTGCAGTGGATATGGCCCTAGAAATACTGAAGATAACATGGTGTTGACTACTGAGTCAGGAGTTGTAGCTAGGGTGCTGGAGTCACCAGAAAGTTTCTGTAGTTGGCTACGGAAATTTCATGTGATTTTCCTATAACAGCCAATACGTATAAAAGATGAATGAGACACGGCCCAGTGGAAAAAGACGGAGGTCACAAATGCTTAAATAATAGCAGGTACAGAAAACAAGTTATATATCATTCTGTGAGTGTGAAAGGCGAGATGTCGAAATTTAGAGAATATCTTTAGGGAAAATTAGTTATTTAAATTAACAGATTTTGGTTTACAAACGCCTCGGGCAACGATCGGTGCTGAATGCTCGGAATTTAGGGTTCTTTTTTCTGCATTTTTGTTGCTAGCGGTAAATATTATGCGCTTCTTATGAAGTATCAGAGAAGATAAATATTTCTGGTGGGTTGATGAGATTTTTACTTATTGCATGTTAGGCGTTACAAGCCACATGTCATGAAGTCAATGGTGTTTTGCGCGCTCGACATAAAGTGGAATACGCCACCTAAACACCCGGAGGCCAAAGTTCGGTTACTATTCTGTAGATCGTCGTAAAAACGTCATCAGGCCAAATACGCTCTGGTTACCGTGCTGTGGAAGTAGGTTCAAGCAGCAAAATATATCCATATAGATCGGGTGGAGTGTAGTAATTTGGGCGTACTAACAGCACCATTCCTTGCAGCTAGATTTCTCTGTAATTATTCGATTTTTTTAAGGATGATACTCTCCTCGAGCGTGAAAGCTTCATCACAAAGCCAGACACATGGACCCGGCCACCCCACAAGTTAACCTGCGGGGCGTGGTATTTTGGACATCCTGAGAACCACTTGCCACTCAAAACATCATCTGTAACTTCTTTTAGAAATTGGAGAAAGTATAACCACAGGCTCCACTTTGCAAAGCCTTTTCTGGCCCAGTGCAAAGATTCCGGCTTGTTGGTACAAAACGGAAGAAAGCATCACAGTCGGTTTTCGCTCTCGTAGATCAAAAGTGCACGCTTGATGATAGTAAGATTAAGATCTAGACACGCAACAAACGTCCAGAGAACTCGCAAAATAGACTGCAAGTTTCAACCCAAAAGGGTAGTTCCCACAGGTGATTAACCCAGTCTGAGTGACGGGAACTAAAGTGCGAAATTGTCCGCCTTTTGTGGAGAACATGTTTTATCAGCATGCGCGGCGGTGTTAGTGGTAACGTCCTGGCATTCTGCATCAGTTAGTTAGAACACATACCCCTGAAGAGCCAAGGATGATGGGCACCAACGTCAGAGAGATTGGTGATGATTGCGATGCATTTGTAGCACAGCCCAACCGAAATAATTACCCTAGGATGGAAAAAACTGTTCAAGCAGAGCAAAACTGCACTGCAAACGTTCACGCGTAGCAGGTTGCTTCATGATGCTTACCGGCTAAAACCGAAGGAGTTCACTGCTTCTTCGAAAGATCAACTGATCTGCCGACGGCCGAAAATACCTGGCTATATTTCACGAGTGAGACTGATAAATATTGATGCGAAACAACGTACTCGAGCCGTGTCTGACAGATTCACTCGCTATTCATGAATATTCATATTCTGCGTAAGATAGAAGAGTTGTTATAACCGGGTGTTGGTTTCAGCACGGCAGACCACACATATTTCAGAAAATCAAAGAGGTGGACACGCTGAGAGATGTGGAAATATTACAGTGGAAATACACATGGCATATACATCATATGGACGGCGGGATTTTCAGGGGATAGTTTTAAAAAATGTTGGCAATCTGTTTAGTTCAACACAAATCTCTCACAGTGGTTTTGCCTTACTGAAGAAGTATGCGTCTGGCTTACTCAAGCGAAAATTATAGTCGGGTTGTCTGCAGTATGTGGAGAAATTGTTTAATTATTGAGACCAATATGTGCCTTCCAAATGCTTCATCTCTTTTGGAGATTATCATCAGTGCATATCTCATCAACCGTAGGGGTTGAAGACTAGACCGTTTGGTCACCAGCAGCGGATCATCAGTGAGATGTGCTTACGCTTAAACAGAACATAGTGTCAAACAAGAATTCTCCGTAGATTGTAGGTTCGAATCGCCATAGTGACTCAAAAAATCATCATTCGTGAAATGGGCACTGTTGGTGATTTTCAATAAGGAAAATGCTGCACAGTCCTCATCGGCCTTTTAGCACAGTTCGGCTTGTTTGCACGATTAGATAATAATTACATTTCCCACATAAGCTAACGCCATTGACGTATCATATGTAGCTCAAAAGGAGTGGTTCATGAGTTGGGTGCATCTCCAATCTAAGAAGCTGTCAGACCCGTCAACACTTGACCACGTGTTTTGCAGTCTGGTACTGAAAAATTAGTTGCGCGTCCCACCTTCCTAAACGAAAGATAACCATCCTGTTTGTCGGCTGCTCTTGGCCGATAGGTTTAGTCTGCAAATGATAACTGAAATGCAGCCGGTGCGAATAGGCCTGAAAATTCATAAGGTACTTATCGTCGATGACTGCCAGCAAGTCAGAAACGAGTGCACAATTCTCCTCGGATTTTTGACAGCCGGCAAATTATTGTTACTATTGTAATGAACAATTATGTACCCACATCTTTCTATGATGCTATAGGTGCCTTCAAAATTCCACCTTGTGAAGTTGTTAAAAAGGCCGCGGAGGGTGCACCTCCAAGTTGTGATTCTATGGCGATACCTTGAATAATTGACATAAATATTACCTGAAAAATTATATAAACAACTTAATTAGTAAAGAACCAAGCTGTAAAGAGCCAAAATACCACAAAAAATACTTCAGAAGAAATTCATGGGGTCTTTCCTGTACCTCTCGGTTTTGAATGTCTTTTTTTATGCTTTAAACTTTGTTAGGTGTCAAAGTCACCCAAGCGGGTTATTTACCTAAGGCTTATACAAGCAGGACTACGTGGTTAACACAGACTTTGGGCAGTATTTTATTGCTTGCAGTTATCAACGAGTTTGTCAGTGAACCTGAGAGGCGGGTAATTTATTTAGCAGCTACCGTTTTAAGTAGTTTGCAAATAACCATATGAGCCTAGAACAGTCGGTTGATTTTAGCTGAACTTTGCCCATATTTTGAGATGAAAATACACTGGTGTGAAAGAAGCAAAATATTTTATGTAAGTATAAAATTATATTAGTCATGGAAATCCATTCGCACCTTAAACACATCACACCGGCCATGTAAGCAGAAAGCCTTATACAGCTTTGTGTCGCACCCATGCATACATAATAATGTACCTCATTTTCTATGCAAAAGATGAGTTTTTACTCTACTCCGCGAAGTCGTCAAAGTTTGCTTATTTTCTTTTATATTCAGGTGGAAACATGTGAGCTGATGATGGATAAGTCTACCAACAGACATCGGGGTGAGTCACGTCTTGCAGTAGATAACGAGCATAAGCTGGCTAGAAAATAGTTCTCCGTATAACTTTTTTCAATGCTACAGAGACCAAAGCTCAGTTAAAAATTGAGTTTGCTGGTGACTACATCATGCCTGATTGCGCATCTACCGCATAGCAGCCAACTCATCGAACAGAGATCAACACCCATCGATTTGACCCCACGGGCCAAGAAAAAACAAAAGCATATAAAAAACTTGCACGCGCGATCGCCTTTTGAAGTAAACGAAAGTTGTGATACTGGATAAAGCTCTCACGTCCAACAGCAATGTTAAATTTGTGATATTATTCACGCCCTGAAGGAAGCAACCTGGTGCAGCCGACTGGTCAAAATTCTGTACAGCTATTGGGGCCCCAAGGGTTAGCTGACCAAGGTATTTTTTCGTCCAATAGCACAGTTCAGCCGTTACAAGAACAACGTAAAAAGCATACGGCCTACGTTTTTTCCGGGAAAACGGAAAATAGTCCTTGAAATAGCTCATAACATGTTGTGCTATAGTTGAACATAATAGTAATTTAGACATGGAACTTCGGCTGAATTATTAGATCAGAAGCGTTTGTTCTCATCTTTCAATAAGTGTCCCGTTGGAAAAAATCAATATGTGCGTTAATCCAGTCTCAAAATCTTTTACATGAAGTTATTTCAGATTGTCCTTACAGAAAAGACATTTTCACTATTAAGGCCTCACTGTTGGACCAATGTTTTAGTGAAATATATGAATGGATTAACGCTCCAAACGGCAGTTCTGGGGGAGGGACTAGATCGATTTATATCTGCCCAGAAATACGCGCGTTCTACAAAGAGCATTAGAAGCTAGCTGGGAGCCGATGTCCTCCGTTACTACACTCCTCTCTCTTTGGCATATTTTTATTTTCTAAAATCAAAGAACGGAAAGAAACAAACGCATTCACATATAAATGGTCACCACGACCATACCCTGAGTGTAAATGTTTTTCTTGTGAATGAAATTTTTGACCACCTTCCCTTTATGAGGTAAAAATATGAACGCCACAAGAATTCCGTGGCTAATGCTGACTGTGTGTACAAACACTAAGGTGTGGTCGTGTCAGAAAGAGGACGGTAAAGCGGACCTACAGTCCCAGTTTTGCTCATTGAGCTGCTAAAATATTTCAGATTATTAAGCTCATCAAAAGTCAACTGCCACCGTGCAATGCAATGGCCGTAAAGGTCATACAAACTGGCGCTGTTTACGAGAATCAGACTGAAAAAGATTTGAATCGCACACTTCATTTGGAAGGCAGCCAAGAGATTCTTCAACCCTGCGTTCACACCACATTCTTCAAAGTCTCATGTTTTTCCTGAAGCAGTTGTTCTTGCTGGGAAGCACTGACCAAATTTTGGCTTTATTAGGACGGGATATTCGGGCGAATCGAGGGTTGGTTTGCGGAGAGCAGGCTATGTACTCTATTTCTTAGGGTTTTCAAGGGTTTAAAATACCAACACGGCCAGGACTATGCTCTGCTGAGGTATAACAAAATGGAAAGAAATTCATTTTCTAGGTTCCTTTAAGATGGTTATTATCTCGGTGAAACTGCGCCAGGGCAGAAAAAGCAATGCTCAATAGAGCACGGATTTAATGACATGTATTGGGGCATAAATGATAGATACGTCACTGGGTTTCAAAAGATGGAGTTCTCGGTTATCAAGTCGACTTGCCTATAAAAATTAGACAGTAAACAAGGTTGGTCTTCCAGAATCAGTGCTTCCGCCTAATATATTGTAAGTCAATAGGACAAAACATAATTCATATGTATGGCTTAGAAGTCTTGGACAAAGTTGTCTGAATCGCTGTGTCCTGGAATCCAGATACACAATCATCACCAAACAGGTGCTCTCTCTCATTGAGTTTTTCGTGAACCAAATCAAGGTTGAAGGCCATACATCTTTTATTAAACTTTGAGTTGTGAGTCAGCCTGACTGTGATGGCCCCCGCAGTCAATATCAGTCTGGATCGTATCAATCTTCATCTTCTATTGGGCATTTGGTTCATGACTTCTCGGTATCATAACCAGTTTTGACCACATGCGGTGCAATTATATTTGAGCTGATTCCTCCAACTGCTAGTCGATGACATCAGATTGCATCATCGCATTCTCTGGGATAAGTGCCTTGCTGTAGGACCAATAAATAAGTCCCCGGATGAGCATGCAAATGACGCAAGCGGAAGGTGGTGAAAGTACTTACCAGTTTTTCTTCAAACGGAACCAAATCACCAAAAGATCTTTCATCAAGAAATCTTAGCAACCGAGTACCCTCTGAATGACTTGTTAATCCTGGGCACTTTTTGTCAACTGAGTTCTCTTTAGTCCTCAAATCTTTCTGTATATAAGTTGTTCGCAAATAGGCGTTCCAAGCAGATTGCTATTAATTGCATCAAATGAGAAAACATGACTTTATTGACATTCCAGTTAATCATCTCATCAAACTCCGCCTCAGTTTCAAAACAGCAAAGCCATGAAAGTGAACCCAGTGTTTGCTGCACGTAAGTTTGACACTAAGCTAATCGTCTAACACCGCAGCTCGGCTAACATTATCTATCACAACAACAAATATATCGTCCACTGGACTACCATACATGGTAACCTGTATCAAAAGTGCGACTTGAAGTTGAATTTCAGGTTTCCTGACAAATGAACACCCTATGAGGAGTTTTAGATTAAATCCTAACGCAACTTCGTCTCCCGTTTTATTGATATCACAAATGAGACTAAAATGAACGTTTGGGGTGAGAATCGGCATCCGCTTTTTATTCATCGTGAGTAGAACAACCTTTTGCCACTTCACTTAACAAAACACAAACGATCTGTTTTTTTCGTCAGAGGAATACTAGTGACCAGCAATGGCGTCCAGAGAGAGAAAAGATGTAACAGATATCAATCTCTGAATCTTTAAACATTTTTAGCGAGCTATGACGCGTCTTCCCGCTTGAGATGACAACTACCTTCTTATTGGTTCTAATGGACTAGGCAGCCATTTGTCCAGTGTGTGGATTGATAACCAAACATTACTAGGACTAGTCTGAGAATCTAACCGGGTTTGTAAATTTTTGTAAACCGTTCAATCGATACACTTTTGTTTGATTCGGTCGGATACGCTCAAAAGTATCAATGACTACTGGTAGTCTGTGCTCGTGCAGTGGTTTGGTTGTGACCATTCTCCTTGCTTTTATTGTATTTCGCAACCAGCACCATAAATCTGGACTTATCCTGTCAAATTACCAAGGGGATTTATCAAGGGGATTTTAGCTCTTTATCGGGCTGACATAGTTGAGCTTGAACATTCGTCTATGGGCGGTCCACAGGTCAAAAGGCATCACAACTGCAGCTGACTTCATAATTACATTTGAGGTTATGGGCATTCCGGGTGAGAACATCAAACTGTTTTTGTATTGTAATGAGGCCAGATGCAAAGAGTCCCAACCTTCACTGATGATCAATTTTGCAGTAGAGCGAGCAATGCGTGTGCTTTTTTTTTATTCGGAGTGGGGAAACGGAAGCAGCCGATTGACAGCTGGTGAACGGCGAAAATAATTTATCAAGTGTCTTTTTTCCAATCGTGTCTGACCAATCTGACAATTGCGATCAATCAACTTCGTCGCTGTCTAGACGAAATACAGTTCCATGGATTAAGCCCACTCACTGAAGGGAAAAGATTCCAAAACAATTGAGTTTTAGTCAAAAGCTTTCGGGATCTTTTCGCCAATTATATATATATATATAAAATAACATGAGCACCAAAAAAGACGTCTCCCATGTGTTGAACTGCACTGATATACACAAGCGTTTCCTGTTTCTTTGGAGAAGTAAATAATAATAGGGTTTCCTGGTCACATAGAGCAAGAGAATAAGGTTCAAAAAGTCTATCATGCTGCTTATTTTATTTTTAACAAACAATTGCATATTTTACTACGTTTTATACTAAAGATATTATTTTAATTGTTTTGTATGCTGTGCATATCATGTGTGCCATAGTTTCGCAAACTTCGTTGGAGTAAATATGTTCGAGTTTTTATTTTTAATTTTCAGTGTACACGAAATTTGGTTAATGAATTTTAGGAATACAATGTTTACACATTTGGTTAATTTTAGGAATACAATGTTTACGCACAAACACGAAGGAAATTTCAAATAACAAAATTTTCGCGGAACAGATCCAAAAGGCTACTGAACGAGATAGTCTAGATCAGGCTTACATATGCAACACATATCTCGGAATGAATTTCTGACGTGGAACAGTGTTCATCAAACATAAAACCTAGAAGACAATTAACATGTGCATTGAACCAGTATTTCTTCAGGACGTCTTCGCCATCTGAAACCAACTAGGGAAGTAACTTCCAGAAAATTCCAAGCTACACAAGCTCATGCAAGATGCTCCAGTTAGTTACGTAGGTTGCTTTTGCAAAAGCATTGCCCGATCCACCTTGCTAATCGTAGTCTAGTGTCCTTTCGACGAAACGCCGTCCTATTCTGTAACTTGCATTTACCACGTCAGAGCCTTTGTATTGTGTTTCATTCTGAGGATGTGATGAGTGCGACGATCCATCGTACAGTGATATAATTCTGTCCAAAATATAAAGGTTTACAATCCACACACGTAAACGAAAATTGGCTGATTTCAAAAACGTTTTAACCACTGTTGAATAAAACGCATCGCATTTGCTAACTACAAAGTAACTGTAGTTTGTCTGGACAATTAGCATGTTGAATTTGAATTTTTCGTTTGCGCAGAATGCCTAGGGTGCGATTTCGGCGAAAAATGCTCTGTTCAGTGACAGTTTTTGTTTTTGTTATTCTACATCCGTCTGACAGGCCTGTGCAAACACATTAACCTGAAAACTATTTTACCAGACATCGCTACTGTTAAATTTCTTGTCACTAAACTCAATAAAAATATCCTAGCACATATGCGAAAAACAAGGCTTTGATTTTCCGTACTCTTGCTAAGTTTTTGACAACCTGTGGTGACGAATATATATATATATATATATATATATATAATTCCGCTTCAATCGGAGTAAGCCCGAGCAACTGCGGCCGGTTCTTTGGTTAAAAGGGCTTGTTCTCACGTCGCGAGCATGACAACCGGTGGCTGATAACCGCCAATTTAACCGAGTGCGAATGGGCTGCCCGGATCAAGTTCCTTCCGCATGTTCAGCCGGTGACCAGCGCCACACGAGATGTGGCTTAGAAGCACAAGAGTGGACAGCTGGTTCTAGCCGTTATTCAGGCTGGTCTATATATGGATGGTTCCACAAAGTCAATTCTGCAACTTATGTAAGATTTCCGCTCATGAGGACCTAGGGCTCTCAGGATGAATTTTGTTGACAGCCGCTGAAACAGTCTGGCGTTGTAACCACATTCTGTCGGTTTCGGATTGACTCGGAAACCCGCACTCTTTAAAGGCGGTAGTGGGAACCTCGTGAGCAAGCCGCTCGGTATTCGTACAATGGAATTGAATTTTCGAAGGCCGTGACGTGTCCCTGATGGACTAAGGCAATCGGGCAAGTTAGTTAAGAGGATGGTTTTTGGTTTCAGCACATACGCAACAAAGTGCAATATTTTGGAGCAAAAAGTTTTACTTCAATCGTAAAGGTTTTGCAGCTGAGTGCATCGTGCGGCTATTTGGCCTATATGAGCAGCCTGACAACCGTACTACAGAATATCTGAAAAGAAAACAATACCAATCGAATGGAGCTCTTTTACCGTTATTCGATTGTTCAAAGAAACAGGGCAAGAACGTCACTCAAAAACCATCGTGACATTAGCCTGGTGTTCGTTGCATCCTAAGTGCCCTTTGGCATTGAGTTGCCCAAATTAATCGATTATCAGGAAGACAGATACGTGAAAATACGTGAGACAGATACGTGAGTGAAACATCGAAACCTATCACTGGCTGCGACACAGTATTTGTAAGACAAACTGCCTTGTAAAACCTGAATCTTTAATACCACTTGTAAACTTCAAGTAGATTATTCGCATGTAGAGTCCTGTCACGCGGGCCTTAATTTCTCAAAGTAGAACGTCGAAAACAAGGTGTTTTTTCACGGGAACATTAACTTTGCTTGAGTATTACCGTTGTCGGAAGATGCCAACGCGCTTTCAAATTTGCCATCCCTGTTTACTTAGACTTGCAGTATTACAGAGTGTTTTTATTTAAATGGTCTCATAAGAACATATCATTAAATGTCCAAAGACAGTATAGTCACTGCTAAATAGTACGATCAAAGGAAATGTACAGTCAACGCTATTCAAAACACACCCACGTAAAGTCGGCAAAGTGTTTCTGTAAATCCTAGTTGAAGTAAATTGTCTTCTTGATACTGCTCGTGCGGTCCTTCTCTTGCTGATTCATGCGTGCTAGACAAGCGTGAACCATGAAGCCTGAAGGTGCAAGCATGTTTACACTTTAGCGACGTGATCAGTCTGCCCGAATACGACAACCCAGTAAGTGTCGTGATAATATTGACTAACCGATCTTCTTTCAGGTCTTTTCAGTCATTGCAGACCAAAATATGCTGGGAAACTTTTGATTAGTTGTAGCTGGTTGCGTAATATTCGAAACAAATTCACGCTCACATCGTTGCTTTCTAAGCGGTCCTCCTTATTTCATTGATTGTATCAAGCACACTACAGAATTCAGGTATAATGCGCAAACAGTGTTGTCTGAGCGCGTGCTAGATTAAACAGCTGGGATATGACCTCTTTCTCCCTCTCTACTTCCACCGTCTCCGACCAACTCACTGTTATTTCATTCCGATGCAAAGTAATGGTTAAAGACTATCATCTGCTTTTTCTGTACAAATGAGCTACGAGGAATGTATTCATGCCGAAGAGGGTTAGTGGTAAGAAGCCTTGGTTTACATCTAAGTGTGCAAATTTGGTTTGTTCGAAATTAATGAAAGATGAGGTTAGAGAACAGCCATCAAGTGCTGACTAGTGAGCACTATCAAGTTAACCCTTCAAGGATACATTCAAAACGTTTGAGTTATCATATACTTATTTCGCATAGAGTTTTATTTTTCACTTATAAACAAGCTAAAAGAATATAAAAAATTTCTCACGGAAGGCAAAAGGGTTTTGAGAGCTGTGACGGCTACAAAAGCATTCGAAAAGAAGTGAAAAATTGGGAAAATTTCACACGCTGTATAGAGTGACAAAAATCCAGGCTTTCAGGGATAAAACAACGAACACAAAAAATAACTCTGTAAACCGTAAGGTCGTTGGAAAACACGTGATGCCCTATATATAAAAAAGGCCATCGGTGATTGAAATGTCCTTTACCAATTCCATTAAATATTTCAAAGTGAAGTGGAATAAGCATGCTTATGCATACACTCATAGGTTGCTTCGCGCGTGATAGTTGACCTGCTCAGAGAAGAATATAGCATTACTTCTGACTCAACAAACTGTTAACTGTCTCATTATCTGCTGTATCAAGGCAGCCGGGCATCTAACTCATCCTCACTTTTTTTCAGATCAAAGTAAAGTATATTTTTTGGACAGAACAACTGAGGCGGTAAGTTGTCCGGGCCCCAAGATCGAAGTGGGATAAGCATATACACTGACCAATCTGGTGTATGCAGACCAATCAGACGTTCGGTTCATCTTGCTATAACACACATACCTGCGCTTTGTGAACATACCTTCAGTAGTGCTGGTTATGTGGCAGGACCATGTTGAAAAATACTTAAAAAAACAAGAAGAAAAATAGGAGTCACCCGCCTGTGCGTCATTATGACCATGCTCATGGCCACAACGTGCAAGGCGTGTCAGTATGAGTCACTTTCCAGTAATTTTTTCTCCGCAAACAGCATAGGTAATTCCTTGGCTCCTGTTCTTTGCAAAAATCCTAAGAAAATGCTTCTACTTACTTTATAAACGACAAGTGGCGTCGTGCAAATTTCGACACGCACAAATCTGAGGCAGTATAAGATAAATGTGCTTAACAAGGTGCGTGCGGAAACGGTTGAGCAGTCTTCTTTCGGTAGTTATTTATTTCATGTTTTTCGGATAACACTTTGATGCATTCTAATGGTGAGACTTGAAACTGAGATAGAGAAGCTTGTGGGAGAACCTGTGAACACACTGATTTGTCACTCAATAGCCAGGATTGAATAGATAACGGAAAAAAATAAAATCGTGCAAATGGTGCAGGGTAACATTCACAATCTAGACCCATCTTAAGTACGGTGCTTCACAAGAAATCTTGTATTCTAGGTGGCAAAACTAGAATATTAACTTGCTAATGCCAACAAAAAAGTGTTCCCGTGCGTATCTTTGTTGAATTTCCGGACATTCTCAATGATTCTGCATATTTCTAGGAAACGAAACGTACTGTAACAAATGGCTCAAAGGGAGAGGAATGCGGAATTTTTGGGGGAACAAACGATGGCACAAGAAGTTATATATATTTAATTGCTCCCACTTGTTTGGAAAATGACAAGCCACCAGATGACTACTTTGACAAACTCATTTCACTTCTTCCTTTGAACCCTATTGTTTTGATTATTTGGGCTAACAGTGAGTCAGTTGGTTGTCTATGCTGCTCAGCTCAAAAACAATGTAGCGTTATTTATTATATCGAAGGATGTGTCGGCTTCGTCCAATGTGACTGAGTAATCCGGCAAGGTGTGTCGGCTAAAGTGCGCCTTCTAAAACCTGAAAACCACAAATGTCAAATGTTGGTCAATTCACTGCGTTTAAAGACAAATTGGAGTTTTCATTTTCGCCAAATGGCACTACCGAACGGCCATTTTCATTCGTTAGGGCTTCTGCGTCCAACCGATCCAAATCCTCAAGAGTCTACGCTTACACAATCTTCTTGTATTTAACAGTGCCTGTAACTTAGAGCAAGGGTCGTTGAATTATGAGTCTCAAAGTTAGTGTAAGTAAACCATCGAACTTAGGTTATTTTCGCCCTGTGAAGAAAACATTGTGAATATTCTTGCAGTTCCAAAAAGTTGAAGGAGCTTTTTTGTGTCACGGTTGATGTTGCAATCTTTTAGATCAAGAGAAATGCACTAAAGCTGAAAAACATATGTTGATACATATTTCATTTACATCTTCATTTTTTTCAGGTTTTGGTTTTGTTACCTTTGAAAGTGAAGTCGCTGCCGAGAAAGTATGCAACATACACTACCATGAACTGAACGGGAAAATGGTAAGTCATTTGAACCACAAGGTGGGAATTCGTAGTTTCTAATGTCTGTACACAAAGCATTTCCAACTTTCTGAAATATGCTGACTTTACGAAAAATTCGACCGTATGAGAAAAATTTAGGTCCGTCCTGTTTGACAGTTAACCCGGAATTTTCCACACCTGACTAATTTCCCGGAATTTCACCGAAAAATTCCACGTTGTTAATAAACAATAACTGATTTTTCGCACGACTAAGTGAAAAAACTTCAGCTTTCCAATTGTTCTTCTTGGCAGCTTTGTGTCTCGACTTCGGTCGCCCAGTGGATCGCAAAGTTATCCATGCAATAAGCAGCGGCCTCAGATAAATAAGAAGTGAATAAAAATACATAATTGGGAAAATACACTCATTTGCATTCCGATTCGGTTCTTTTGGAAAGACACACCTAAAACCTAGCTGAATCTATCGTTTGTAATGTCTTTGTACAACTCAATGTGCTGCACAAGGCCATCTAATATTTTCCTTGGTACAGTATTCGAGAGATCGCGATAGATTTTATGGACCTAATGCACTACTCATAAGGTCACTGAAGAATATGTGCAACACGTTGAGTTCAGTTATGTAGTAAACGAAAGATTCAGCTGAGGTCCAATTTGGTCTTCCATCAAAACCAAACTGGTATGCAAATAAGTGTTGTTGCCTACAGAAGCTTTGAAAACTGGTATCCTTGTATTACTCTCATTGTGATGATACCTGAAAATAGAATGGTTTTTACTCTCCACGGAATCAGAATTTATTTCATTGAGGTCACGTTTCGCACAAAATAGTTGTCCCGATTCTCCGACTATAAAAATCGTGTAATTTGTTCCTAAAGATTCATAAATTTGCATGCGTGATCAAACAAATTGTTTTTATGACAGTTTTTCCTGCCTCCTCTCCCAACTGTTTCAAAGATCAACAAACATTTAGCAGAAAATATCAGTTAAAACCATTTTATTCAAACTGTTTTCCGTCAATTGGATTTTAACTTCTTCCTCCAGCTTGAGACGTGACAAATTTTGCTAAATCTGATAACTCACTTTTCACTTACATATTTTACTCATTAGTTAAACCAAGATATATTGTCAATCTATTGTCATTCTAGTTCCACAACTTGTTATCTTGTGTGAAATCGTACGCCTCGTGCAAATTCATCAAGCGAAATTTCCTGGCGTCCATGTAAACTAGATCGGTTCGTTGTGAGTAGTCAATAATGCCACACTAAGATATCTTTGAACAGGACGTTTTGCCTAATATTCCCGAAATTTACCAACGAATAAAAATGCTGTATCAAAGTCAGAAATATATACATGAACTTCATCCTCAACTTTCCGAACTGTCTCCAAAAACAAATCCCAGTTCCACCCAAAACGTTAAGATACAGGATTTCATCGTCTTTTCAAAAACAGTGCGTTCAAAACAAAAGTAACATCGGTGTACAGTCCTCGAGCAACTATCCTACGTTTGCTGCCTAAATGCCAAGGCAAAGCATGGAGAGTGCCGTTGATCATAATTCAAGTTTGTGAGATGCGGTAGCTACCTTGATTTATCGTTGAATAACCTTCGTGGTGTGCGAGGCATCATTGGTTCGGTCAACGGCACAACAGCACTGCGACCTGCAGGAGTTGCTTAAAGAATGGACATCAATCAAGGATTTATCGCGCAAAATCGATAAGTTTCGTGACAGAATGGGAAGGAAGGACGAGAAACACGAGAGCAGTCACGTTAACATAGTGACAAAGGTTCATGCTTAGAGCTTTTTCGAGATATGGTAAATCGTAAAGCAGGAACTGGGAAAAGCTATCCCTAATAGGAATTCCTTTTCGGAACTTCATTTTTTCAAAGAGGGCTCATTCCATTTTATAACAGTATTTGACTTTTTAATGGTACTGAACAAAAGCCTGGGTACTGCCATCTGTGCTCGACAGATTAAATGCGAAAACTGTCCAATATTGATGTGATATGGGGCTCTAAATGACTAACCGTGCACATCGTTTCTTTTACAAATATGTAGATATCTTCAAAATTACCATTTTGATTGGAGATCGACGCAACTGCTACCGAAAATGTTGTTGGGTGCAAAAAGAAGAAATTTAAAGCAACCTTTTATACTTAGGAATAAACGCTGGCAAGACGGTAGAGTGTATGCTTACCTGCGTTCTACATATCGCAACGAGATGTTGACAGCCAGCATCTGAAAACCCTTGCCTTCTCATCTATAGATCAAGACAGCGCCGCAAGGTTGCACATTTTTCAATAAGTTTTTTAACTTGGTTTGAGTAAAATCTCGATTGATACTTGGTGAATCAATGCCCAAAACAACGTTATTTGAGTGTCAATGTCACATGGACGGCCCATGAGGATTATTATCCGTTTGTTTTTACGAAAAAAATCACCTCGTAGGACCCTGAAATTTTTTAAATAGACCATTTTCACTTAAAAACGCCTATAATGAAATAACCACTCTTCCCAAAAAGCATTTGATCTTGATGTCTCTCTGTACATAAGTTGATGCGATCACTGGACTGTAGTTATTGAAATATTGCAAAGCTTTAACAACGGCTCTTAATGAGCTATACCTCAGTCTGCGAAATTTGTATATCCCGCCTAGTGCGCAAAAATACGAATGAAACCCCCATACCTATCGCAATCCCTGTGTGTAAGCTGTCGTATTAACTCCAGCTCATGAAATGTACAGCTCTTGTCCCCAGCAGGGACACTGAGGAATTCGGTCAGCGGGATGTTCGAGCCAAGTATGGTTTTAGCATATTGTGCCAGTTTGTGGTGCCAGCGCATATTACCCACTCATCAAGGCTGGCTGGGTGTTTGATGGGATAAGTGGCATGTATAGGAAGAAAAACTTTCAATAAATCTTGCATTGACTTGTTCTTTACTGATAACGCAATGAGCACTCCCAACAAGTTCAACTGCATTGTAATTCAGAGTCTCCAGCTATTTTTCTAGAGGCGGTACCGCACATAGCGTCAACGTTGCAAGCAGTGCACTGAAGCACCAAGATGGAGGCTAACTAGTTTTATGAAGGCTAAATATACATGTTTGCTTAAACGGTAAAACCTTTTTTCGAACATGTGACCCAATGGGGCTACTTCTAGGTTCTGTGACATACAATAACCATTCATTAAACAAACAATTAAAAGATCGACATAATTGGGATAAATCTACCCATGTTTGAAGTAATAAGATCTGGCACACTGATGCCCTATAGGAATACAAAAACTGTCCCTTTATTCTGATATCCGTGCCCCTATCTGCTAACCCTTTGGCCCAGTCACAAACTCGCGGTCACATAACAACATGCAGAGATGGTCTTTTGATTTTACGTGAATTTGTCAGGTAACTAGCTTAAGTTATGATTCCGCCACAGAAAGATTAGAGTTTTCTTTCTCCTAAAGTGAGTTTGCGGTGAAATGAACCCTCCTGCCAACATCTTTCGTTGGTTAAATCCCATCACATCATAAGTCCTAATGTTTAGGATAAGTAAAAATTGATCATATCACCAACAGCTATTTTTAGGCCTGGCGTTTTAACGGAAGCACCACTTCCGATTCACATCTAGCATAAAATTTTCAAAATTGTAAAATTTAAGCGAAATGACCACTAGATTTGACGACATGGCCTCACTAATACCTGTCACAGAGTTCACGTAATGTGGTCTGACATTGATTGGATACTCGGGTGACAGCCTCTCCTTGGTGAAACATTTCGAGTTGTGGAATGATTTCGAAATAAACAAAGTGCTGTAATTTCACCTATGTTGTTCAGTATCATCCAAATCTCCTGGGACAAGAATATCTGTGGGTGATTTTGAAAATTTACTCTTAGCAAGTATAGGAGACACTTAGATAAATCACAGTGAAGAGCTCTTGAGTATGACGTGTTGCTTTATCAAAAAGTTCACACGTAACCTGAACTGCCCATGCACCTGAAAATAAAATCTGAGGGTGACTTGGTTATGTAAGATAGCATAGATCTTCAAATCCACCGCCATTTTGCTGAAATGCGAAGAGGGAGAACCGTAGATGATTACCAATACAGCCTCAATAATCCGCAAGTGATAATCAAAGAAAAGAAATAAATGGCAGAGTTCTCAGTTCCATGAGTGGAACAGTCACTAAAGTGCGCGCGTAAGGCTGCATAATGGACCCTTGTTGTATTAGAACAGGCCTGTTTTAATGAACAGGCCACAGCCAGATGTCATACCGGTACGCTTGTTTTTTTACAATTTTTATCTCATCCCCCCTTTTTTTTGTGCCAATAGCAGAAACCACTTAACTAAAAGACATTCCCCCTTTCCCTAAACCAAGATCCAGATGATCGATCTCTTCGAGAAAGTACAGTCTCAACGAGAAACTGACACCACCTTTTCCAAAAATTCACTCCGTATTGAGGGCTAATGTTAACCGTAATTTGTGCATTGAACTATCCGAATTTTAACCAGCCCGAAGAACAGTAAGCTTCCGAAGCCTTGGAAATATTGTTCTAGTTTTTATATTTAAAAAGAAACATTAATCTATCATTTGGAAAATGTTAGGGGTCGATTAGGAAGTCATCGTTTCAGAGGAGTTTGGTAAACAATTGGTGGAATTATTGCTGGGTAACGTTTCGCTTTTGACACAAAAACTTCGTCAGGCCAAGGGAGTGAGTAAGTAGGTTGATTGAGTTTTAAGGCAGTCAGGGAACCAATATATATTTTTCCCCTTAATTTGGTTTTGAAAACCCAATAAAAACGCTTTGCGTTCCACATAATTTAAGATAAGGCTTACCTACTTCCACTGACAAAGATCTTGGCATGCCACTGTAGCTCAGTTTCTATAAAACTTATAAGGAACTGGTCAGATACGGATTCATGTAATGAAAGCATTAGAATGACATACCATTGTAGGACGTTAGCGGGTCTATTAGGAAACAAAAGCAAATAACGTAAACGCGAGTGCAAACCCCGTCAGTTGAACTTTTATAACATAACAGGGGTAGTAATTTGTTTAATAGGTACATACCATTTTCGGGGTGTTTCTCCTAGGGTAAATCAGTGGAGGCTACCTTAAGCTTTTGTTTAATAAAACTGAGACACTAATCCTCTATACGAAACCTGAATGACAGACGATTACAACTGCACACTCACCGTCTTTAAATTCATCTACCTAAGCCTCCATTCTGACGTTCCCTGACAGAGTGCCCGCCGCTATCCCATTAAAAAGCGTCGTTGATATTTATAAATTAAATCTCTACAGAAATGGTTTTGACACGGAAAACCATTCCAAAGAGGGCTCCTTTTCTTGTTAAATTTCCAATGCTTCAGCTTAATACTTGACGAAAATGTGGGTGCAAATAAAGCACATAAAAAGAGCACCCTCATGACTGGCGTTTGATATTTTCTAACGCGCTCAGAAACTATTAACCCATTTTGCAACTTACCATTTAAAATTTACCTTAATTTATGGACAGCAATAAGTTGGCTGTATTGCTGTTGATTGACAATTTTTACGACGTTCATAAAAAACCTGATGTCGACAATCAGACGCAATGCGTCGATGGTGAAAAAGGAAATGAGAAGCACTTTCAACTCCAGTTCATCAACAGACCGGAGAGGAAATTCAAAGTATCAAGTAATGACTCCGACTGTTCATCATGCGTTACGTACTAAAAATAAAATCACTCACCCCTCACAAACTTTGGAGTAATTCCACTCTCGGGCATCAAAATAAGTGAGTCGTGCTTGAAGCGTAAAAAATTGCTTCAAACCATACGATTTAAAAACCAGACAAAAGTTTGTGCAATCGCAGCATCCGTACATAGACACATTCTTTGGGAGCTGTCCTTGCTGATAGCTCAATTCCCCGTAGTCATTCATGGTAGAGAACATTATAACAGAATATTCTGTCAATGCGTTCGCCAGAGGGCAAAACGCAAGGAGAATTTTTCCCAATTGCTTACTCGCAAGTTCGATAACTAATCTGTAATTTGCTTCTGAAAAAAATGTACGGCATTATTTTATCCCTTGTTTAGCGATTTCACTACTTAGCGGCAGAGATGTGGTTTGAATAAATATGCAGTCGTTCTAGAATAAGTATAGAAGAAAAAATGTATTACTGTTTTTTTTATTTTTAGGGTCAAGGAATGTTCGGTATTCGCAAAAATGGTTTAAGCATTGCTTCTACCGATTTTCGACATATTCGGAGTTAATTATACGCTAAGATCACCCTAAACCATCCGTCTATGAGGCAACGGAATTACGAGGGGTTGAAAGCAGTACAGTGTGTTACGTAACAACCATGTCAAAAAGTTTCTTCAGGCTTTCAACATAAGGAATGTTTTACAGGCTTCGCTGGGTTCACAACAAAATGCATGTGTTCATCAAGTAGTACAAGTCAATGTGAATGGTCTTGCACTTAAATGAGATCATCTGGACTATACACACCAAAGATCAACTTGTTTATCTGGTGGGCACTTTTGTGCCAATTAATCTCTAAAACGAGAAGCAGAGTTTCAATGCATATATCTAAAATCCACCCATAGTCCCACCAAAAGAGCAGTTGCGCTAGCTTATTTTGCTACACTATTCTTCACAACTTACATTGAAACTGCACGAAACGCAGAAGCTCAAACCTAGCAAGCAAAAATTAATAAACAATCTACCGTAAAAAAATGCTGGACTGATCACGAAGTATTACAAAACATTTAAAAGCGTATCCCCCAAACAGAAAAAACATTCGTCGAAAATGTGTTAAAAAGTTCTTAATCAGCAGTATAAACACACTAAGAAAGCAAAGGCCTTTTTAGGGCTTCTTGAAAGGTTATGTTTAGAAAAGTTTATAAAATAAGCTAAGTAGGGATAACAATCCTTTATTTCATTTATCCCTTACAGGTTGAAGCGAAAAAGGCTCTTCCAAAAGAGGTCCTAAGTTCCAGTAACGCCCTGGTTAAACAAAGAGGCCTACTTCAGAACCAGCTGGGTAAGTTGTCTTTAACACTTACCGGTTCCTACTTTTAAAGCTTCAATAATTTGACATGTTCCTTGGTACACAGCACGGTTCACAATTATCAGGTGTGCAAATAGGCAGTCTAATATCTGGAAACGGAACTATTCAACACATATAACCCGTTTAATTTAATTTAAAAATTCGAATGGACTAAGATAGATAGTGCGAGGATGCATTGCACAATGAATCTGAAAACCTTTTCCTGCTGCTTGATAATTACTACTGCTTGACTTAAGCAGAAAGAATGAAACCAAGTTAAACGATTCCTGGTTTTAACAGACAATTTTTTAAGTTTAATTTCGCAACGAGACCCGCAGCAAAAAGGAATTCCTGAAGGTTAGCAAGTATATGGAGAGTGCATTTGATCCTGAGTCTTCCACATAGACAATCACCTTTAAATAGCCCCGAGAATAGCCCTTATGTAGACGTAATTAAGAAATAGAGATCGTAACAAGGTTTATGATTAAGCAAAGTAAAACTATACACACTTGTTACCATAGTGATCTGGCGGAAGATACTTGCAGTAGAGTAGACCACCTAGTTTGAAGGCTATAGAATACCATTTAGGAGTTCCGTGTGTTACCACCGGATGGCCTGCAAAGTAGCTGAAAGTCCTCATCCTAATAATCCATGCAACTGCCGTTTTAGGAAGAAAAGTGTAAAAAGCTCGCACATTCGATATCTTTAACAAATAAAAATTACAGCCCCCGGATGAACTGATTGATAGTTTGGTACTCATTATGAGCAATAAGCCAAGAGATGAAACTGAGCAACTTCAACAATGTAGTGGATTTTTGTTTCATTTTTGGAATTCCAAATCCAATGTACTTTGCTTCAACTTTTCTAGGCAGTGGCTAACTATATACCTTAAATCGAAACACTCAACAACCTGTCTTTTCACGTTAGCTGTTGTATGTGCTGTCCATAATATTCATTAATTTTGCTAGACAACAAAAGTTGAGTTCAAGGTCACAAAATTAGATATTAGTCATGTGACTTGCTTCATCTACCAGAGATGAGTTGTTTGCTGAATGGCGACAGCTATTAAGATGACTTGTATTTTCTATGCTAATAGAGGTAAAACTATTGAGAGTTAAGCACATCCATACTTCCTTGGTAATCTGAAAGAATAAGAGGTAGATAGGACTGATAGGAGACTTTTTACAAAATCCGTGATCTTAACGTCCGCGATATACGGCTGATCAAAGTATTGCGCTATAATGAGGTAATTACTATGGAAATCTAATGGTGTTACGTTTTCTGTATCCTTTGTAACGTGCATTTGCATTAATACACTGTGAATGTTTAAGTTATGAAAAAAAGTCATCTTTACGTGAAAGGAACAGAACATGTGGACAAGAAGGTAGCCTTGTTGTATGACTTTACGACAAACCAGCCAATAAATTTCCTTTTTTTCTATCTTACGAACGAAAAAGGTTTTAGGTAACCACAGAATGCTAACATTTAATTTATGAAATTTCGTGGAATCTGTCTTAAATCCCGCTGTACATTTCTCGTAAATTGTCGTGACAAATACATGCAGCCAATACACTGCAAAAAAATTTTAAGGTAAGGCTTATAATAAGTGAGAGTTATGCTCCACTTTGCTGTCCTACCGACGATATACAAGCTGTCAGCAAGATTGACGTTCTCCCGAACTGCAGTTTACAAACATTCAGCACAACCTGGTGGCTAGACGTTTCAACAAAAAATTGGCAGTTAATTGCCCAGCTATGTGAGGAAGCTTCAAATATTTAGTTTCAAATATTTTAGCGTAGGAGACTTGACCTTTCCAATGTGGGAAGAAACTGGACCACACTGGGCCATCAGCTGTCAATAACCGTTGTTAAATGTCAACTGACACATGCACATTTGCATGGCATTAATGTGGGACCATGAAGAACTGCCATTCATGTAAGTGGTTTGAACGAGTTTTGCAGGTGACTCGCGTTGAAGGATAAAACTCCACAGTCAGTGCTACTTAAAATTTGGAATACTCCATTTACTGGAAGCCGTCCTAAAGGACATAATTCTTTCGCTACAAATGTTCCATATACTAGCTTATTTATAGAGCTTCTTGTCACTGCGATGATGTTTATTTACAAGTTACTCTAAAGGCTTACATCCTTTGTGGGCTTCGTGACATTTTACATTGAGTGGGTCTCAAATAGAAAATCACTAATCGGAATAAACTGACCGCTCTTTATGTGCGTACTGCTTCTTAAGCAAAAGACGAATGCGAAAGACTTATGTCATTTTGGCCTAATGTTTGGTGGTGGCTTGGAAAGAACATAGGATTGATCCTGGTTTCAGGGTGAAACGCTACTTTTAGTTTATTCAAATTTATAACTCCAACCTCTTTCCAAATTACATAATTTATCATTTATTCATTTATTTATTTAACTGCAAAGTTAATATTGGTAAACTTGGTTGTAACGACATTCTAGAAAATTTCCCAGACTCCACATATCGGTGGTCCCCAGATTCATATTCAGTAAGCAGAACGTCATCAATCACTAGAACAAAAATGTATGGAAGTTTCATTCTTATGCATTCCACGTGTGAAACTTAAGGGCCTTAGTTTGAGAGGCTTAAGCAGTGCTTCCAAACTGTGAATAAAATACATGTAATTATAACTGTCTAACTCTATATATTGACTTCATGGTAAGCGGACGGAACAAGATTTGGAATCACAAACTCGATAAGACCAAAAGAGACTACAAACTCAGGTCCAGTCAGTTAACATATTGTAACCTAAATTACTTAACCGCCACTTTTCTTGAGACAATTCCTCTACGCTAGGCTCTACGCAAGCCTTGTCAGTAAATTTATGCCAAATATCTGTACATGTTGCTTCAATAGTCTTCGATAAACGCGTGCACAAGCCAGTTTTTGAGAGTAAGTACTCCTCTATACCTATGTAAATATTTAAAAACGCTTACATTTTTCGGACAAACTTTTATGTTTCTACTTTGTTCAAGCAAGAGATTCATAATAGTAGGTGAGTTACGTGCAATTTGCCACAACTTCATGACCACAGGCGCCCCATCTGATTGAAGTTTCCTCGATGTGCACTGAAATTGTCTTTCTTAATTACTATTTGTCATTAAGATACGTCAACGTCCGCATCGATGCGGAAAAACATTGCAACACCCTCCTTTTCATTTACAGCCTCCTAGTATTTCAGGACAAAATTCTAATGCCACTGCTCAATAAAACAAAAGTGGTATAAAAATACAATGCTAATTATCTACACAACCAAGTGATTTCGGCGAAAATTTCCCCATCGTGTTGCAGTATTTTGCCGTCGGTAATTGACTCAACAACTCAATGGAGAGCAGTCTCTCATTTTTGCATTTTGAACAATTTTAGTTTCCATTAATCACCTACACAAGTGTCAGATTTAAAGTGCTAATTAATCCTCCTCCGACCCTAAGTAGAAAACGAATACCAAGACTGTGTGCTACTAATCGTTCAGAGGTACAACAGAGCCAGATGATGAGAAATTCCATTAGTAATGATAACGCTTTTCAATAATCAGAATGTGTAAACCGATCAAGCAGTCATTGTTTCGGAAAGCTTCTGTTTACATTGATTCTTCATTAGGTTTTTCTGAAATAGCATCCATACAGAAGATAGGGGCTTTCAGCATAAGGGAGTCAAGTTCAAATGCACCGACATAATAGTGGCCAGATACCGGCGCATAAGTTGAAGTTGCTGATGGCAATGAGTGGTATTTTGAATGACACATCTATGACTTGTGTACGGTCCATGGATGAAAACGAAGAGGAAAATTCGCAATCAGTAAACAGTTAAATAGTGGACAAATATACGAAGCCAAGATGTTGTGCGGCAGTCACACAAGCCAACCCTTTTTTTATCTAATCCAAATACCTCACATTGTTGTCATTCAACTCAGTTGGAGGCAACATAATAAAGACGGAGCCATACGTGTAGCAGATACTTTCCTTGATGTTCAGTTGCGTCAAAGCATACAATATTAGCATTTACTTGTCTCAGGTTTGGTCACCTAGTAAGTCTTCATTATCAGTAATCCCTCTGGGTCTTGAAGCTTTATCGTCCTAGTGAACAGTAGAATTTGGAATTTCATAGGGGCAACATGCAAAAACATTGAGGCTTCTTTTTGCTCCCTGTTTTGAACAGTCTTGTCAAAGCTTATTCCAGTGTCAACTTATCAAATATGCAATTTTTATGTCAAGACAGCCCGTTTTTAGCAATACGAATCGCCTTCTCTCTTGCTTTCATTAGTAAAACTTGTACAATTTTAATCATTTTTATCCTTTTACACTGACGCGCTGTTCGTGAGAAGGTTTAATTTTTACTACAGCTCTTCTGCAACATAATCTAAAAACAACCTGTAACGTTTTTTACATTTCCTTTTTTGCATCTTTTGCGACTGTGAGATTGCTTACAGGAAAAGACACTCATTCCTACTGCAAACAGTATTTCCACAGTCTCAGAATATACGGTAATATCATGGTTGCCGTCAATCTATTGCACCTCATTAAACACACTCTCTCTCTTTCCTTGCAATATAAATAAATTGTAGATGTTTACGTATGCATTTATTTTAGTGGAAGATTCATTACCATACTACTCACATAAAAACTATGCGTTTAGGCCATCCGATATTGATATGCACATACTGTAATATTTGCGCAAGTGAGGCCTATTGAAGGAAGAGAATGCAAACAGAGCATCACATATTTTTCAACTTTTAGAAGCAACGGCAAAGACGTTTTAGGCTTAAAAATGGACACATTTTTCAGCTTTGATTATCCTTTAAACTAATCTGTGCGGTGTGCACCGGAGCATAAAATTTCAGCCTTTTCGAAAACAGACTAACATTATCCTAATATATTTTGCTTTTAAGCTGTAAGATGCTGATCCATCCTACCAATCCCCCAGGGTAAATCCCCTTTGGATTTAAGCTTCCCTAATGTGATTTTCGA